TGCCTGGCCTATCACCCCTTCCCTAGGCAAAGACAGAGACACCCTCACCGGTCCCTAGAAGTCCTACCACTGTCCCTCCCACCATACCTTGCACCTAGACCTGCTCTGTGCTTGGCTAAGAGACAGTGAGAAGCCAGGCAGGCTCTGTCCTAGATGGTCAGTCTGTGGGGAAGATAGAGACCCCAGAAAGCAGAGGCTCTGCTCTAAGAGGGAGGGAATCATTCAGACAGGGCTAGCAAGGCTACAGAGAGGACGTGGTATTTGAGCAGACCCCCAACAGGTGGAGTGCAATTTCGAGAGATCAAGGTGGAAGGTTTTGGGAGAAAAACACTATTCAGGCTGGAGGATGGGGTGCAGGGGAGAAGGAAGAGGAAGGAGGGACTAGCACAGAACTATTGCCACAGTTAGGTTGTGGTAGATCCTGAAAGCCAGACTAAGAACTCGGGAGTGTGACAGCGTGTGACAATTCACAAGAAGCTTGAAAGGAAAGGAGGCCCAGAGCCCAGGCTGACACAGGAAGCGAGACTAGGCTTCAGAAACAGACTGAGAGAAGCAGGTCCAACAGAGACCCACACTGGGGTGGGCCCACAGCATCCACGTCTCAGCCACTGGCTGAGGCCCATCCTGGGAGACTCACCACCTCCTAGGACGGCAGACCCTGTCTCAGGTTGAGCAGTATGTTGGCAGCATTTCTGGGTCCCCTGAACTGCTCCGTGCCATGTTCTGTTCCTGCTCACAGCAGCCTTGAATGTCAGTGTCCCCTCAGAATGGTGGGCTGGGCCAGAGATGCCCTGTCCACATAACCATCCTCAGGTGGGCTGTGTGAGGCCTAGGGAGGGAAGGCAGTTAACTTCTCTGTGCCTCTGGCTTCTCACCTGTGATGTGAAGGTTCTTCCCCTCCACTGGCCTAAACTGCTCCCCTCACTGCCCTCCCCTCATCTCTGCTCCAAGCAGGACTCAGCCTCAATGTACTCTCATCTGTATCCTGTCAGGTGGTGGTAAGGATCCAGTGTCCCTGAAGAAATGTCCAAAATGTGTCCTGTTTCACCCTGAAAGGCCTAGCACACTGTGAAATGCAGTTTGGGATCCAGTCACTGGCAACCTATGGTCACACACCAGCACATCCCCTCTCCCAAACAACCTTGAGCTCTGGCGAGCATGGCTCAGGCTAAGCCCCAGGGCTAGTGGTGTAGCAGCTCCAGGCCCTGCCTGCAAGCTTCTCAGGCTGAGGAGGTGGGGGAGATACACTCAGACACCAAGAATGACCACCGGGAACCACCACCATGGATCAGGGAAGCCAGCAGCTACAGGGACCTGGGATTGAGGGAAGGGGGTGGAGGACTGGGCATGATGTCTGAAATGACACCACAATGGGCTCCTGTGGCAGGCTGAAGAATGGCCCCCAGAGATACCACATCTAAATCTCTACAGCCTGTGAATGTTGCCTTATATGGCACCAGAGACTTGCAGATGTGACTGAGGATCTTAACATGGGGTGGTCATGCTGGCTTATCTGGATGGGCCCTAAATGCAATCACAAGTATCCTTATAAGAAGGAGGCAGGATGTTGATGTGTATGTGTGTTCTGTCTTTCTGTCTGTCTGTCTTTCTCAGCAGTAGGGTATTTGCTTAACGATCCCCTGGGTTCAATCCCAAGGAAGGGAAGGCAGAGGGAAATTCGACCAAAGAAGAAAAGAAAGCAGTGTTAAAGGAGTAGAGAGAGGGGTGAAGTTGTCACAAGAATGCCAGCAGCCACCACAAGACTCATGTTGGACTCCTGACTTTAAAAACTCTTAAGAGAATAAACCTGTGTTATTTTAAAGCAATAACTTTCCAGTCTTAGGTTATAGCAGCAAAAAGTAAGAAATATTGTTTTTTGTTTCTTTGAGATAGGCTCGGGCCTTTGCCAGGCTGGCCTCAAACTCCCGATCCTCCTGCTTCAGCATCCTGAGTGTAAGGATTATAGGAGTGTGCCACCAAAGCCTGGTTCAAAATACTGATCCTAAAGAGCAGTGAGTGGTGGGTAACTGAGTGCGTAAGCCTGAGGAGGAAGTTCTTGTGCTTTGAATTGCTCCCATATACAACAAAGTCGCCCTGAACTTCATTCTTACTTACTGTTATCTCGCCTCACGAAATGGCGAGGTTATCCAGCAGTGGGGGTCATCGTGGCAGGGCCAGCTGGGCAGGGACAGGCAGATAGGCCAGCAGGCTTTCAGCCTTTGTCCACATCCTTGGGCACACCTGACAGGGTCCCTTAACTTCAGTGTCTGCCACCCCATGTCCCCAGACCTGGGAAAGCTGGGGTTGCAACAAATGTGATCTGAACATCGAAAATGGGGAGTGGTAAGTCAGCCATTCCAGGCCAGCATGCGGGCCCCCTCCACTCCGCAACTTCCATGTCCAAGCCTGAGGGCTGGTTTCATCAGACATCCCGGATTTGAGCTCAAAAAGGACTTGGCCCATTTTGCCTTCAGCAAACAGGGGAAGGCAATGCTGAGGCCAGAGAAAAGTCAGCAGCTCTTGGCAATGGAATGAGGCAACCCTAGGGTGGCATCTGCAGTAGCAAAGGAGAGGCTGCAGAAGAGGGGGCCTTGAAGGCCAAGCCTGGGGGCCCATGGTGTGTTACAGAACGTTCCGGCTAGGAAGGACAAAGATATAGAGGCAGAAGAGGCGTCTGAGGGGATTTGAGGGGTGGCTAGGAGGGGCTTCAAAAGCATTCAGAAAGCTTAATAAATGAGGACAGAGATAGAGCAGGGGCTGAGACCAGCTGCAGATAGACCGCCATCCAGACAGACCACCACTGTGGTTCAGGCCACAGAGCTCCACAGGAGGTGGGCCACAGAGCCTGACCTCTACAGCTGGGTCTCGAGTTTGCTGCCAAGCTCTTCAAGATGTTCCCATGACATATTCTAGGGTTCCCAGTGCCCCCACCCTGCCTCTGCCCAGGGAGTAAGAGGCCAGGGGACTTGGTCAGGCACAGACAGACAACTTGGGGTGTGGGCCTACAGAGGTCAGCAGCTCCCCTCCCCCATTAAAGCTAAAGCGGGGGTCCCCCTTCAGTGGGGGAGACACTACTACTGCCTTTCATGCATCCTGAATTAAGCTCATTCTTCCTTGGCCCTCTCCCCTATCGATGGGACAATGTGAGGCTGACTGTTAATTCCTATTCACAGTAATGGCTACCAAATACCAAGTACTAGTGAAATGCTTCTAGTAACTCGATCTAACTTCATCATCATCCCTCAAGTCCCTGTGACAGGCAGTTTTTATCCCCAGTGAACACACAATGAAGCTGAGACAGGAGAAGCACTCTGCCTCAAGGTGGAGGGCAGGCAGGAGGGGATGGGCAGGACTCCAGGAGGAAGAAGACAGGTCCTACAGGTAGAAAGATGGTGGAAAGTACCTCCCTTTACCCTCTGGGAGAGCCTGGGGGCTCTTGTTTGGGGATAAAAACTCAGGACTATCCTGAGAACTTGCAAGGAAAGCAGAGGCAGATGCAGACAGAGACAGTACTGGCCTCAGAGCAGAGTTCGCAATGCTCTCACCCACCTTTTACAACACTGGATCCAACCCTGATCTCATCAGCTTCCCCCAGATCCATCCACCCCAAATAGACCCATCTCAGATACATCCTACCCATCCTTCTCCAACCCTGGGGCCCTGTGTACCCCATGGCACCTCGGCTCCTCCTCTAGAGGCCTCTATCAAGTCCCCTCCTCTCCTGCCAAGCCTAGCACTGGGTGGGGGACAGAGAGGAGGGGACAGGGAGCCTCTCCCTGCTGTGGCCTCCTGCTCACTGGCCTGGACAGCGGCCCAACCACCACCACCACCACTGCCAGAGCCAAAGATGGCCCTTGTGAGATACACACCAGCCTATGCAATCCTGACCCATCCAGCTTGCCCTCAGCCTCACACTTCTGAACTTTTGCTTGTATTGCACCCTAGCCTGCAATGTCTCGCCCTTTTCTTCCCTTCAGTGAACTCCTTCCAGGCCTAGTTCTGGCGACTTTGCAAGTGGACTAGTCTCCAGTTACCAAGCAAGGCAGGGTCCCTGCCTAGGGCCTCCCTGGCCTTATCTGTTGTCCCATCAGGCTCTCCCTCATGAGAGAGGCTCTTCAGGGAAGACTCTTCAGGTTAGCACTTTTAGTGTGGGCACCTAGCTCTGACCTGGCCTGGGGCAGCTGCAGCTGGGCCCACCCTACTCCACCCAGTTGCTCCTTGCCTCCACCTTGTGAGGAGCAAGAACCAGTCCAAGGACTACAGGAGGTCTCAACCCTTGCAGGGCAGAGACCTCACACTGCATTTAGTTGCCCTTAGCACTTGCCTTTCCAGTGCTGGCACCTGGAAGGGTTCCAATTCTGACTCTGAAGTCCTGGGAGGGTGGCTCACTTCACACAGTAGTGACCCACTCTCTTATCTAGGTGGGGTCTGGGGCTGAATCTCCCACCACACTAAGCAGCCTGGGGAGCCCTTGGCACCTGTTAATGATCTGCCCTACTTTACTTCTGGTCCCCTAGGCAGGTCTCCCCCAATCCCCAGCACAAGGGGTGCAAGTGAGAACCTGGAGATCAGAGAAGAGCCATTCTTTGCCAGATCCTACCCCACCCTGCCCCGCCCCCAACACCAACACACAAGCGCTGCCGCCATGAGGGGGGCCCTCATTCAACCAGGGGAGGAAGGCGAAGTAGGGGTTAGGGCTCAGACAAACGGGGCCTTGGCCTTGCCCCATTCTGCAAGAGGGGAGTAGGGGGTGACACCCAGAAAGGGCAAGGGGACCGAATGTGTGGAGGGGGTAACTGGAAGGGGGACTTATCGGGAAGAGGAAAAAACGGTCCTGTTGCCAAGTGGGCCCCAACACTTTAGGAAAATGACACCGGAACACCCAGGGGTAGGCGGAAAAGGCTTTTCGTCATGGGGTGAGGGCGAAAGTGGGGTTGAGCTCTGGGCCCTGGCACCGATCCTCAAGCCCCCCTACCGTAAGGTCTGGGGCCGGTGCTTACCTCCTTCCTCCGGCCCGCGGGATGTGCAGCCCCCTACTCCGATCGCACTCAGGAGGCGGCAGTGGCACGCGCTGCACCTGCACACACACACACACACACACACACACACACAC